AGGGAACGATGAGGCGGAAGTCCCAACATTCCCCCTCCACATTGGTGCGGCCCTAGCTCTGATACCAATTGTTGGACCGATACTAGGGAACCGCCCACATGATATTGTCCGCTTTGGGCTGCCCCTCCCGGCAATAACCCCTCACGGCTTTAAAACGCGTCACTGGTAGGAGTAAGATCCCCTCTTCCTTATAAGGAAGACGAATCCCCCTAGCCTCACTGATGTGGGATGCTCCTGCATTGCTACAGGAGCGTTGGGTTTAAGAATCGCGGATTTGACCGGCTCGAGGGAACGATGAGGCGGAAGTCCCAACATACACAAACTCAAAATCTTCTCTAAATATTATCTTTAGTTACACTTTTAAAAAATCAATTCATTCTCTAAAAAGTATATTATATATTTATTTCATCCATAATTCAGCTGCATATATATATATATATATATATAATAAAATTAAACTGATAAATAATATTAAATTAATCAAGAACAAATTAATAATAATCTCAAAACAATTTAATATATATAAGAACCATCCAAATATAATATTCAACTAGTTCATATATCGTCTAAATTTATCAACAAAAAAACATCCAAATAATTGCGCGCATATGTTTGAAAGTTCAGTGATTCAACCACGTGAACTTAGACAATTGCTTGTGAGTTTAGACAATTGCTTCAAACCTTTAAAGATAAACATATTATAATTTCAGTATAATGTCTAATCACGATGCATCTAGCAACGCGCCGGTCTCTCAAGAAATTAGGGATGACAACCTCAACTTAGAAGGGAATGTCCAAGAAAATGTGGACAATGACGATGAAGCCCAACTATCACCTCGTACTGAGAGGTTATTGAAAATAATGAATGATCAAACACGGGCTGCTCTACGAGAACAAAGAATAGAGTTTGAAAGAAAGTTATCTGAAGTGCAAAATCCAGTTAATGCTCAGAATCCGGTTGTCCAAGGACCGAAGCTGGATAATGAAGACGTACCCAAACCAAGGTCGGACCAACCTTCATTTAAAACCTTTAGAAATAGTGGTGCTACAGAGTTCTCGGGATAGAAGGACCCAGTACTTGCAATGCAATGGGTCGAAAATACTGAAAAAGTATTCAGGATTGTTTACGTACAGGAGGAGGATAAAGTACGTTATGCAACAACGACATGTACCGATCGTGCACTCACTTGGTGGAACGCCACAAATCGATCAATGGATCCTATTACTAGGGATAGGACGACATGGGAAGAGTTTCAAGTGCTGTTCTTCGAACAATATTGTCTGGATTATTTGAAACAAAAACTTGAGAAGGAATTCCTAGATCTCAAACAGAGATTCATGTCGGTGATTGAATATGAAACAGAGTTCAATCGGAAGCTTCAGTTTGCCCAATGGTTTGTACCAAGTGAAAAGGACAAGATTAATCATTTCGTCAATGGTCTTCGACG